TCGCACCCTCACAAAATGGCCGCTGACAACCACATAAGTCACCGTGTTGTGATTGAATAGCATGGAATTAAACCTTCAGAGTATGTTTTGTAACTGGTACCAAGAGTTGACAGAGCCCACACATGAGTCACTCCTTGAAATGCAATAATCAGCTGTATTTAAATAACGTCTAATATAAATATAAGCCAGAATATCTACTCAGTGAAAAAAGAAAAATATTGAAAATTTCTAGTTTTTCTGCAGGTTTGCTGGTAGCTCTACGACATATATTTGGGTATTTCTTAATCGCTAATATAGTGTGGATTGTTAAGTTCCTGAACAACGAAAAATATTCAACTTTATGGATGTATGGATATTAAAAAACCAGAATGGTTTTGTGGGAATATCAATCTAAGGTGCCATAATGGTTCTGATGAACGGCAAGTAAATGAATAAATGTTTAGAAACAGCAATATCTATGAACCTTTTGGTAGAGCCAGTCATCAAGTAGGTGCTTAATGGCTATCTGCAACAGGTTTATTGGAAAAAACACCCAGTAGATGAACTTGAATCAGTAAAATCGCATATCAATTGAAGAAAATAATATGATCATGAATAAAAAATCAACAATGGTAATTAAAACATGAATTTTATTCAAAAATCAAACATTTCTTTAAATTTTGACTGAATTATATGTAATTTCTTAATATTCAATAAGCTGGTGATGTTTCAATGACAAGATGTCATCTCATACTTTGACAATATTTTGTTTTCAACATTTCATAGCTATTGGTTGCTAAAATTTGTTGATTGGAACTTGAAGCTCATTCGCTGTATTTGACGGACTGTTACCCTATAGGTGGAGAATAATGGACTGTTGTTGGTGAAATTGGCCCTAAATATTTTTTTTCTGTCGTTCAGTATTTTGTATCTTCACGAACAACAAATGTCTAGGTAAAACATGTTTGTCAACTTACAATACTCACGACTGTTACAGCACTGCAAATTAAAACAACACATTTTGTTTCTGCATTTTACTTCCGACGCCACTGGCGAGGTAGTATTGTAATCGCGAAAAATAAATATTTTTTTTGTTTTTTGGATATTGTATGACATGTATCCGTAGGTTTGTCTATTTGTTTCTCTGTCTGTCTATGTGTCTGCTAATCCTTCGCTCGTCTTGAAAAGTACTGCACGTATTTTGATGAAATTATCACTCAAGATTACTACTACGCCAAGGACGACAAAGCTTTGTAGTTTTTGATCATGGAAACGGCGAAGCAAGGGCAAAAAACAAAAAAATATCGCTCAAACTTCTTTCTTTTTTTTTTGGCGTTTTAGATGGGTTGTTGGGGATGGAAGAGGGTATATCCCAATTTTTTGACGGTGGTATATTTTTTATACGCTTGCAACCCCAGTATGCACATATTAGAGATATTTTCCGTCAAATTTTAAAAGATGAAATATTTTCGACGTACGTATGCGGAGTCTCAGTCTACCTAAATGAATTGTTCCGTCACTGTCACGCAATCAAGTCTGATGAGTGGTCTCATCGAGCGGTGAGATATGGGGAAGGGGCGTTGTTGGTACTATCGGTAGAGCAGAGAAAGATTTCTATATACTCGTTACTTGGGCATGTTTTTATTACTCGATCCGTTAAATCACCATGTTCGTAGCTATCTTTTTTCTCAGGGGGTCTAAAGTGTGCCGAATATAATCCTTCATGAGCTGATGAAACCGTTGCCTTTGACTTGAGTAGCTTACCTTTCTAATTTGAGCCAAAACGCTAACAAAAAGTCAAACCTCCAGCATTCCTAACCTATACAAATGTACGCCATTGTCCACTCTCGCTCCTAAAAATCCTAAAAAAACTCCAACACACATCGAACATGGATATATATACCCTATTTTGCAACTACCACTTGTTAACGGCCAGCAGAATTTTTGTTTTTTCGGCCACCTTCTTGTTTCCTTGCTCATACTCGTATTGTTGGATATTTTTCCATTTCAATGCTAGTTCATCCGCAAAACGTATGGTCAATGTACCATTTGCTACTTTTTCCCCAGGTCGCCTGGGAATGCGTAGGATTGGACTTTCGGGAATAGCCATAGCAGATTTTCCCAACATAGCTTCGGGCATCGGTTAATTGAAAATTAAATGACTGCCTGGTGGAAACTATATGAGGCAATAATGTTTATTTATTACTGGGAATGCCCTATTGGTATAATTAGTTTTGGAATGACCGATAGCAACATTATTAAGAGAATAGGTACTGGTAATCTTAGCCACAGGCTCAGCTACCGAGGCACCGCGACATCTATAAGAATCTTGAATACACCTTGTTATGATTTTGAACCACCTATGGTTAATAGAACTGAAAAAAGCCTCCTCAGGCAAATTGTTTTACAATCTCGAAACTCTAGGAACGAAGGAGCGGATTTACTTAGAATGGAAGAAGAGCACCCCGGAACAAAGCTTGTTGACATACCGGTAGTATATAGCCAGGTCCGATCCATCGGACATCCCTCCGTCGAGCAGGGGCGGTCACACCACAAAGATCTGAGCAGTGCTCGAGGTTAGGTCTTATCTGGGCCTTGTACGGAGTGAGGAGGAAAGCACTTCTAAGGACCGTATCATCAGTCGTTGCTACAATTGTAGGACGTCTTTATGACCGTCTTGATTTTCATAGTTTACTACTGTTCCATGTCAAATATCTATTTGCATCAAATTGTTCATGCTGTTGATGTATATCATCTGTTTTATCAGCCTGAATTTTCCTACAATTCAAAAAGAAGACATAGCCTCTCAATAGGAGAGCGCTGACGCTAACACGGAACAGTAGAAATCTAGAAATACCCCAGCCTTTCTGAAAGAGAGAAAATACTATCAGAATCAATCCAAAGCATGGTACTGAGTTTTGGAAACATTAGACTGTCTCAGACTGTTACGTCCCCAGATCTCCCGTTAAAGAAGAGGTCATAATAGAGGCAATGTTCGAGCCAATACCGATCCCTGGGGAACACCCGCGTTGACATTGGGGGAAAAAATGGATAACCCGTCACTTACGACGGATATCTTGTGCTCAGAGAGGAAATCAGCCACTCATCTACAAACCTTCTTTAGGAGACTATAAGTTTCCATAAGAGTGCGGCATGCAACAACTATTCGATGGCTTTAATAATATCTACATGCCTAGCAATAACCAATCTTATCAGAAACAAATAACATCACAGAAAACCTATCGACAGGATTAACGTACATTTTCGGTGCAAGTCTAAAAAATACCAGACAAATAATCTCAGTATGTCTGCCATTTAACCACTATGAATATAGAGATCTCGATACCGATAGATCAGTAAACCAATAGGTCTAAATGGGTAAATATGCAAAAAGATATCCAACGCTGCGTTGCGTATGGATATTACCACACAATTTCCATCGTCACAACTGTACTGAGCGACAAAAAAAGGTAAACACCTACGTATGTTTATTAAGGTGCGTCCACATTATGCCGAAAGAGGCCGGACGGCCTGTGCCGGTCAGCACGTTCGGTTCGGCACATTCGGGTTGGCATTACGTTCATATTGCTTTATAGTGAGGGCGTCCTGATCGGTACCGAACCATCCTTAATGCATCCGCAATATAGTCGTAGTTATTGTTTTGTGGTAGTAGTGAAGATAGTTTCGTTTCTACGTTTGTGAAACATTGCGAAATGATGAGCGATGACGAAGACGTTGTTTTAGCTGCTGCAGCAGCAATCATGATTGGAGTGGCTGCTAGCGGAAGTCGTTGCTTCCGCCCTCGGAGATTTTGGATTCGCCCGAGTATCTTCAATGGTAGAAAAAAGTACCGTGCCAGTAAATGTATAAAAGGTTTACTACTTGTTGAGGTAGATGAGTTAAATTTGGAATACAGAAACGACGTGGGGTTCAGCAACTTCTTCAGAATGAAAGGTTCTGATTTCGAGGATTTGTTGAATATGATTGGACTGAAAATCTCTAAAAAAAACACCTCCTTTAGTGAAGCTGTTCCTGCAAGTGAACGCCTTGCGGTTACACTGCGATTCATTGCGACTGGAGATTCCTACCACATTCATTGATGTATACCATGAAGATATCCAAGCAAGCTATTTCGCGTATCGTGCCAGAAGTTTGTGACGCCCTGGTCCAGGCTCTTCAAAATTACGTCAAGGTAAGAAATTTAAAATGAAAAAATAGATACAGTAGGTATGTTTTATTTATTTATGACACTAGGAAAAAGACAAAAATAAGACTACTTAAGTACTAATAAACATTGTCCAGTAGCAGACTTTTAAATCTAAAAACAAGCTGGCTAGTGATTTCTTTTCTGAAAATTGTCAAAATAAAAAGCATACGTTGATAGTACGAGTAGTAGTGAAAAGCAGTTTTATAACATAAATTCATAAATTCAGAAATAAAAGGTAATTCAAAGGTAGAAGTAACCACACGTACAGTGAAAATATTGCGCAAATAAAATTTAAATCATGTTTGAATAAGTATTTCAAAAAGACAATCATGTGCCAGAAAGAAGTGGTCATTGTGTAGGGTCATCGTCATGGCTCTGTTGTGAGTAGTTACTCATAAAGCATTCAGAGAAAATAGATGCAGGCGACGGCGACGGCGATTGGGAACATGTAAGCGATGGAGTTTGGGACTATGCAGGTGACGGCGATTGGGAACTTGCAGTCGAATGCACTGTTGGATGCGTTTGGCTCAGCGCGGTGCCAATTGATAAGTGGTAGGTCATAGGGGAAACAGAACTTGCCATATTTGTGGTAGAAAGTGGCATATTACTGTACACATTCCTAGTTGGTGCATTATAGTGTTCATGCATCCCCATTGCTGCGTCAAAAAGTGATTGGTTGATGGCATTTGTCACCAAAAATCTGGTTCGCGGTGAAGCTAGCCTGAGTAGCTTCATCGCTACTTGTTCGCCAAACAATGAATATTCATCTTTGGGGGCCACCCTTTTTGATTGAATGGATCTCATAACATTCAACGCTTCGTCAAATACAGGTGCCTTAGCAGAAGTACTCTGAAAAGTTTTGCGGAGTTGGTTTTGTGGATTTTCGGAGATCTGAAAACTTTCGTTTTGGGTATTTTTATAGGAGTCTCCGCTGCTGCCTGTTCGTCTTGATTTGATGGTTGAGGTGAATCTTCGTCCCGAATTTTCTCCCCTTTTTCAGTGTCTTCCTTTTGTCTGCCTTATTTCCCTCGCCACATTCCACTGAATCCTGAAACATTTTTTTTTATTTTCAGTTGCCCGAAAGACACGAAGAGTGGGAAGAAATTGCCAAACAATATGAAGAAAAATGGAATTTTCCGAACTGCGTCGGTGCCTTAGATTGCAAGCACATCGCTGTGAAAGCTAAATTTCATTCGGGTTCAGAATTTTTTAACTATAAGGGATTCTTTAGCATCGTTTTACTCGCTGTAGTAGATGCAAACTACAATTTTATATACGTGAATGTGGGTTGTCAAGGAAGAATTTCCGATGATGGCGTTTTCAATAATACATTTTTCAAAAAAGGACTTGAAGAAAATACTTTACATATTCCTCCACCGCGGACTTTGCCTGGGCGAAACTGGCCGAGCCCTTTTGTATTAGTTGCGTATGATGCTTTTCCTCTCACTCCTAATATTATATAATAAATGTCATGACAAAGGATCAAAAAAATGATAATCGGCTATAGACTGAACAGGGCCCGTAGAGTTTCAGAAAATGCATTTGGTGCACTATCGACCAGATTTCGTGTATTTAGATCTCCAATGGAATTACAACCTGACACGGCAACGAAAGTTACGATGGCTGCTGTTTATATTCATAATTATTTGCGGAAAAGCTCCTCGAGATCTATTTACAAACCTGTCGGAACATTCGATTTTGAATCTGCAGATGGTGAAGTTACTCCTGGAGTTTGGAGGCAAGACATTTCTTCCTCTCAACTAAGCGACCTCCCAGGAGTTCCAAGAAGAAGTGGGTTTTGTCTCTGCGCAAGGTGAAGTGAGCTTCCAATACAATAAATAAATTCCTCCACAGGATATCGACCACGTTATCAGCACGACGCCCAGGCGTGTCAATGAGTGTATAAGAAATCGTGGATCCTCAACACATTATTGAACCAGCTTCTCCACTCGGTTGACGAATCAAGCTGAAAATTTAATCATTTTACTAGTTTTTATGCATATATGCCAAAAAATAATTAAAATCGAATAAAAATACGTAGGTGTTTACCTTCCTCCATTTTGCTTTTGAAGAAAGTATTTTATTCCTAATGATGAAAACAACCTTTCGAAGAACGATCAGTTAGCATCCTCCCTGGTAATTATCCCCAAGATTTCGTACTCTCAGAATTTCTCAACGACAGAAACAGAAATTCTATAACCTGCGGCAACATTCCAACGCTGTAATGATGTGATGTCAATCCATGTAAAGAAGACGTAACATGTTCCCAGTCCCAGTGGTCTTATGGGCAAGTTCTTCGTTTCTCATACACTCAAAGGTGAAAGTTGAACGTTTGTAATATGGTTCTTTCTCGAATAAGCTGCTACATCGTTCATGTGTCTAAAATAATCCCAGACATCTCCATCTCACCTGCAAACCCTTACAACGCAAAGAAAATTGTAAAAGTGGCGAGGGAGTTACTCCCTTAAGGACGGAAGTTGTCCGATTTCGCGAAATGACATGATGACGTCGTGAGTTGACTACGGAGTTGCGGTGTTGCCGATGTCACAAATTCAGACGGCCTTCTCACTCAATAAGAATCAAGTCAAAGTGTTATATTAAAGCATTGATAAACGTATACTCCAAGAAGATGTCCAACTTTATACGTCTATACTGTCTTGTAACGAAAACACCGTCTTTACTATTTGAAGTCAAATTTATACCTCTCACACTAATTTATAACAACACTTTCAACTAATTTGTTATAAAATGTATGACCCATGTCGACTGGACTATTGCGTCTCGCGGTGCTGATGACTCATGGTCGAGTCTCCTCTCCATTCCGCTGTCGATTGTATTTATTTCACATCGACGACTCCCAGATGCATTACCGCGTTTTCTAGACAGAGAGCGAGTCTTCGTCGAAGTTGTGAAACGGTCGATGTTTCGGGATGGGTGTCGAACGCTCTTGATATCGCTACGGATCGTCTCAGACGTTCTCAAGTAAAATCTCAGTAGTTTCTTGATCAGTGATAAAAACAAATTATTCTAGAAAAATAACAAAAACGGTTCAAGGAAGAATCGACCATTCTTTTAGTTGTTTATGAAATTTCGTATATTTCAGAATTTCTGACTGACGGGAAACGAACTATTCGAGATATGGCAATGCTGAGGCCTAAAGACGGTGGTCTACACATATCTTTTGGTAGAACTATATACATTCCTACTATGTTAGCATATATTTGGCAATACTGGAATCCTGTAAAACTCTTGAAAGGTTGGATTTCCCATGGCGCGGATCTGGAAACTCGCGCGGGAAAAGTCGCCGGAAAAATGAAAAGCTGCGAAGCGAATGGCATGTGTGCAGAGTTGCCCTCCTAACCTTCATAGTTATGGGACGTTTTCGGAAGGATTTATGACAGGGAGGAAGCCGAACAATCTGCGATCCTCGCTGGTTTTTTTTCTTTTAGGGAGAGGGTGTAACAAAACGCCGCCTTAGGCTTGGCTGCCGCTTTCTTTCCTGTCTTGGTAAGGATCGTTTGTTAAATAGGCTGAGTTTTATGGAGCAGGCTGCTTTTTACGCCGTACCGTTGCTCATATTTCCCGCTGAAAGGTCCGACCTAAATTACAATAAGTGTTTCGCTTTGTACGGGAAAAGTGTTGAATCTACAGGGTGGCAATAAATCTGATGAAACAAACATGGAAGTATTACACGAAAAAAACCGTTTCAAAATTTGTTGCATGTCTACGATCTGGATAGAAACTCGTTTTTTTGTAAACCGGGAACCTCGATTTCTAAATTGATGTCAATTTGAACACAATTAATCTATTGCCAACCTCAAATTCGACGCTATGATACCTCATAACTTTTTGATCACCATAGAGTTTCATTCAATTTGTAACAGCGGGAGACAAATACAAAAATTCTGCGTACGTTTTGAGGTTTTTAATACAAAAATTTTCGATAGTTTCAATCACTTGCAACAATGAAAAACAAAAAACGAAATTTAAATGGGCAAAATTGTAGAGTGTATCTAATTATAAACTGACTCCTCCTTTATCTCCTGCATGGCTTTTTAGAGAAAACGCTATGCACAAAAGGCTAACATGCATTTTTTTTATTTCATATACAAGTTGTCTCAGAAAAGTGTGTTGTGTTGTGTAATAAAGCTGTATTTTTAAATGAAACATTGTGTACCTATATTTTTATTCGAACTGATAATTCCTTTTTTGAATCTATATATACATGATTTATTATGCTTAATTTAATTAATTTAGTTAAAAACTTATTGTGTGTTATTTGTGTCATGTATCCAGCCCTATGCCAGATTGCATACGCGGCTAGATGCCAACTGGTTTGAACCCGGATACACATCAGTTAATGGCACAAATTGACCAATCTAATAAAAATAAATAGGTAGGATAAACCATAAGTATTTGAAATCAGAAAAAAGCGGCTATCATTTTGTCTAAAGAAACGCATTGCACATAAAACTTTATGTTAGACTCTAAAACTGTTGTATACAAAGTTAGAGTGAGTGTAACAATTTATAGCAAGACTGGATCTTATAGGACTCTAAGGTTTCCAATGAAAAAAATGCGATTACCCATGTGTAATACGTGCACACCTCTAGAGCATTTCTTGTGTGATTCTTATGTCTAACAAGTGACTGAATGGCTTTAAAAGCTACCCTGGAACCATTAAAACACAGTCCCCAGAGTTGTGCTAAACGATCTCATGCCTTACATCCCTCCCTTACAAAATTTACTACCACAAGGGCCGGATAGGGTCAAATTGACCCGCAAAGCCCGTACGCACCACACTCCTTATCCTCAACGCTCCCCATTCCCAGTTGCTGGGGCCAAACAAATTCGGTCTCTAGCGCCATATACATTTCAGGCTTCGCATCGTAAATCGACTTTCTTTTCCGATCAAGTCCCCTTTATTTGCAGCCATTCCATTGTGCCAGACGCGATGCCAGGATCGGGGGTATCGTCCTTAATCCTTAACGGCCTCTTTCCGCGATGCAGATACTTCAGTACTCCTTGTTGTAACCCCATCGTTCATGAGCGTCTGTGCTGGAATTCAGTACAGCATACAGGATGTTCCGTGGTTAAATGGGCATGGTGGAATGGAAGGTAGTGTGGTCCGAGACTCTTCCATATCTGAAAGTAAAAAAGTTTTAAATTCAATAGAGAATATTCATTTTAATTACCCTTATTCATATTAGCTTCTTGTATTTGTCTAGATTTTCGATTGGTAAACCAAAGAAACAGAGCTTTCTGTTGCGACACTGCAGATGTTTCGGAATAATATATCTTTTTCTACAGGGCTCCTTTTAGTTAGTTTTGGTCACATAATAACTCGACTGCAAATGTTTAACAAAATAATAAAAGGCTTTTATAGGGTTATAGCTAGATACAAGCAGCTTTATAACAGAAAGATGTGTTTCTTTGGACCCCAAATTCAATTAGATACAAAAAATTTAAATTCAGTTTTTACGGATACACAGTGCACCCCAAATTCAATTAGATATAATAAATTTAAATTCAGTTTTTACGGATACACAGATTTATCTAAACAGCCCAAATCTATAATATCCCACATATCAGGCTCTGTAAAATCCAGGGCCGGACATGATTTTTTCACTTTCTTCGTTTTCATAAAAATCAATTCGTTGGAGTACCAAAACGTATAAAAAAGCCAATAAATGGTGCTAATTAATCAGCAAAATAAATTGATTACGCCTCTTTTGATATTTTAGTTAAACATATTTACTTATTCAAATATCTTATTTGTAGCAGTTTATGTAACCCGACAAAATTTCAAAAATATTCAAAAATTGTACCAAATATATTTTGCGAGCTCAAAATGCCGGAGTCGGATTCATTTTTATTTTTTTCATTTCGGATGTCCAACGCCCTATAGGTCATAATGTGAATTTAGTACTATTTCTCAGAAAACTGAGCAGCTTTGTTATCGTGCAAACACAATATCGGTCCAGTGATATTAAAAATTCAACGCGCTTAGAAAAATCACCCTGTATATCGGTAATAACTGCTTTTAGAACTTATTTATTTTCAGATACGAAACTATCATTTCACTATGTGCATTTAAACACAGAACACCCAACAGGGTGTATAACAATACAAGACGATTTAAAAAACATTGGCAGCGTTTGAAAAGTATAAAGTACATAAAAAGTGACAAAAAAGTCAGTTTCACGAATCAAGTGTTAAAATTTTGTTGCCAACTAAATATATATACAGGGTGACTTCGAAGTTGAGTCATTTATTTTAACAGTGAGTAGATCTGATCAAAAGAAATGTTTTTTTCCTTTACCATTTTTCTGGTAAAATTAAAGTAACAAAGTTATAGCCCTTTGGAACTTTGAGTACCGCCCTGTCTCAATAATAATATTAGGTACTCGTGTTTGGCGACAACGGATATAATCCGCCGTATCGGTTCATCGCATCGGAAACAAAAAAGCGAAAGAATTTGGAACGATGTTTTTACAAGTATCTCAGTCATTTGTATACAGTCAGTGTCAGTGAAAGTGGTATCTGTTGCGTGGCTCAAACGAAATAAAAAATGGCACATGTTTATGCGGATCGGTTTCCCAATCGAGTGCAACCAACCCCTAGTGCCTTTGTTAATGTAGTACAACGGGCTCGTGAATCAGGTGACTTAAGACCTCACAGGGGACCTCACGATCAAATACAGGTCCGCACTGAAATACTTGTCGGGAGGATACTTTATAAAACAAGGTAAAAAATTTTTTTTAATTTTTTTTTTATTTTTACACACATATTTTGGTTTATC